CTTTATTGTGTAGCATTTCGTAAACCCTCCAAGATGGCACCCTGCCCCTTTAGCCATTATTTACCTCTATTTTGTAATTTTGTAAAGGTGTCAGTGAGTTAAAAACAATGACTGTGCACAAAATATAAATCATGACAGGAGACATGACAAAGCCTTCAAAATAACTGTGATCACACAGCTAGTCATAGCTATTCCTATCAACTTCGTTTTAAAAGCCCAAATACTTGATGTTCTGTAACTGACAGTCGGAAGGTGGCGGCTTACTTTATAATCTAGGCGAGCCGTTACCTATAGTGGCAGTCAATAGCTCCCTGTTAGAATTGGGTACATTTAGCCAGGGCCGCCATCAGAAATTTTGGGGCCCCTAACACAGCTCAAGGTCTGGGCCCCCCTTCAAGCCTGCCTCCAAATCCCGCCCACAGGAATACACACACACTAACAGATACAAATACTGAAACAGACATACACACATGCATAGGGAGATGCTGACACACACACACATATACAAGCAGACATACATACTGACAAACATACATATACATACTGCATATTGATATATACATACATACCGACAGGCATACATAAATACAGACACACACTGGCATACATACACACACGCATACACACACACACATACACTGGCATACATGGGCATACACACACGCACCGGCATACACACACTGGCATACACACACACTGGCATACATACACACATACACTGGCATTCATACACTGGCATACATACACACACACATACACTGGCATACATACACTGGCTTTCATACAAACATACACTGGCTTTCATACACACATACACTGGCATTCATACACACATACACTGGCATACACACACTGGCATACACACACACATACACTGGTATTCATACACCGGCATACACACTGGCATACATACACACATACACTGGCACACACATACACTGGCATACACAATGGCATACACACACATACACTGGCATTCATACACTGGCATACACACACACATACACTGGTATTCAGACACTGGCATACACACACATACACTGGCATTCAGACACTGGCATACACACACACATACACTGGCATACACACACATACACTGGCATTCATACACCAGCATACACACTGGTATACACACACACATACACTGGTATTCAGACACTGGCATACACACACATACACTGGCATTCATACACTGGCATACACACACACATACACTGGCATACACACACATACACTGGCATTCATACACCAGCATACACACTGGCATACACACACACATACACTGGCATACACACACTGGCATACATACACACATACACTGGCATACACACACTGGCATACATACATACACTTCATCCCCAGCCACCCTCCTCTCTTCCTTACCATTTCGTCGCAGGAGGGTGGCTGGGGATGATGGGCATCGGCTGCCTCTCCTCAGGCTGCGTCCTCCTTCCCGCGCGGAGTAAAGTGGGAGGAAGTGACCGGACGTCACTTCCTCCCAGCAGCACTTGCTTCCGGCTGCATTTTTTTTTTTTTAAAGGGGCCCGGTCGCGCTAATACAGCGCTAAACGGGCCCCTGAAGATAATAGGGCCCATTGGGTGGCCCTAAATGATTGGGGCCACCTGATGGGCCCCATCAGCGTGTGGGCCACGGTGAAGATGTACCGGCGGCAGTTCCGCTGATCCACGTGGGGCCCGGGCACACAGACAAACACATACACACACACACATAATATTTAAGTCACCCTCCTGTTTCCTACCTTTTAGGTGCAGGAGGGTGACTTTCCCAGGGGTCCAGTGATGGCTCAGGTGGATGGGAGTCAGAGTTCCCACTCTGACTCCCTGGTCTTCCTCCCGCGCGGGCTCTCTGTATGCTGGGAGGAGTGACGTGCAGTCACTTCCTCCCAGCTTGTGATGTCATCACAGGGGGCCCAGTCGCACTGTTAAAGCACCCAGCGCTAACCGGGCCCCCTTACAATTCATATCCATCGGGTGGCCCTGACATCATGGGTCCGCTAGCAGTGTAATGCTGGCAGCTGGCAGGGGAGGGAGAGTGAGGAGCCGGGGAGCTCAAACTTGCAGCTCCCCGGGTTCTCCTCTCACGAGCTTGGAGCGCTGCCGCAATTACTGTGGCAGCGCTCCGAATCTCGCGAGGCTGAACTCTAGTAGCTCCTGAGGCTGCTAGAGTTCAATGTCACCACTAGGACTGTCAGGGCTTCCTCACCGGACCACCAGGGATTGCAGGAAATGTCTCCCCTCCCAGGCAAAGGTAAGCAGGGAGGGGAATATTAAAATAATTATATTCATGAATTGCCCTCCTGCCCCCACAGAGACACAATAATTCCCCCCTTACACACACACACTGTATCCCTCACACAACCTGCCCCCACACACACTGTACCCCTCGCACAACCTGCCCCACATACTGCCCCAATTTCCTTCTGCATCCCCTATCATGGCAGATCCCAGGTAAGTTGTCAAACTGTTCTTAAACAGTTTGGATACTTACTCTGGGAGGGCAGTACTGGCACCATAACCACTACAACGTGCTGTAGTGGTTTATTGTGCCTGCATTGTTTCTTTAAATAATCTACCAGTGCCCCTCCCAAGATTAGGTTCTGGATCTGCGCTTGAACGGCAAGCATTTCTGCCAAACCGGGGCCCAGTATATGCCGCTGCGCTGTACATATATACAACCTAGAAAGTTTTTCGACTTGGGGCTCCTTTAAAAAATATTATTAAGGACACCTTGAACCTAACAAGTTTGGGAACCACTGGGTTAAAGGGTTCCTGTAGGAAGTAAATGTGTATGGATCAGTGTTTTTTGTCAGTTTCAAATCAAATGCATGGCTCATGTTCCCACAAGCTAGTGAATGGGCTAGCAATAATGTATCCCAGGCGGATTATCACAAAGATTTTTTTTCTATACCTCTGGTAAATGTGCAGTGTGTGAGAGGTTAATAAATAATACAGTGCTGAGGGTGTCCCCTACCCACAGAACCGATAAAGATTAAAAAGTGTACCTTAGGTTAAACCCTTTATGTAGGTCCCCCTATAGTTAAAGGAACACATTCGTGTTAGGAATACAAAGACATATCCCTTACAATATAGTGTCCCACAGCCTATGCACCCCTAAATCAATGAAAGGATTAAAAGATTATTTCATTCACTTACTTGATTTCAGCACTGTGCTCCTCCTCTGCTGTCAGGTGAACCTATTGCACATGTGAGTCAAGCGATGCACGCATAATAGGCAGTCCGCATAGTAAAGCACTGAATCAATGCTTTCCTATGGGGTTTTGCTTAAGAGTGATGACATCCAGCGTTGTTTCACTGAGTCAAACTCAGTAGGAAGAGCCACTAGTGGCTGTCAGGTAAACAGTCACTAAAGGCAGTCTTCGTATTGCAATGCAATAATTGCAGTTTCTTTAAAACTGCAATGTTTTACATTGCAGGGCTAAGTGGGACAGGGACACTGCACCCAAGACCACTTCAATAAGATGATGTGGTCTGAGTGCCTATATTGTTCCTTTAACTGTGTTTTTCTACCCTGCAACCTAAAACATAGGGATATGAAGCAGGTATGTAGTGCTGCTGTCCATTAGCTCTGATTTTTAACTCCTCAACCACCACTCATGCATGAGGTGCGCCGAGTGTTCACCTCACTTTATTTTACAGATTTTCCCGTCCCAATGGATGGGGAGGCTGTTGGTGAATCTTCCCACCCATTCTATTTAACCTGTATACCACCATTCCTCAGTAAGGGATATAGATGAAGTCATTTGACAGATCTCCCTTTTACTACACTAGGTGAGAGAATAGGAGAAAGTATTTGCCAAGTCCCTTGTTAGCCTTTTAAATGTCAGTAGTGAGCACACTTTGAGCTCAGAAGTAGTTAACAACATGGGGTAACTACTTTTCTTTAATAAAACTATCTTTTATAACCTAATTCAGGCAAACCAAACTGGCCCCTCAATGAATTTTGGACAAACTACAACAGAATAAAAAACTGGTACAATCCTCCTCAGGAAAGAGCCAAAGACAGATTTGTGATATAAACATTTGTAAACAGGTGGGTTTTGAGAGACTTCTTAAATGAGTGAAGACTTGGGGAGAGTCTGATGGAGGTAGGTTGTTCCGAAGGAAAGGAGCCGCTCGTGAAAAGTCGTTAGTAAATAGTAAGGATGCAAGCAGCAGACAGGAGGTGGTCACCGACAGAGCGGAGAGACTGAGAAGCGGCATATCTATGAATTAGCAAAGAAATGTAACAGGGGCTAGAGTTGTTTAGAGCTTAATAGGTAAGGGTTAGTATTTTGAATTGACACATATAGGATACAGGAAGCCAGTGTAAGGTTTGGCAGGAGAGAAAAATCAGGCTGGTGGCAGCATTCATTACAAATTGTAGCGGGGGCAGTATGGCGTCTGGCTATGGCTTTTATATGCAAACCTGGAAGAACATCTCTGTACTATCCCAGGACCTTGATTTATTTTTTAGTAGATCCCCATTTTGAATGCATATTTATAGTGATGTGGCTCCTGGATGAAGTCAAGTGTTGAGTGTATTATTACTAATTCATAAATAGAATAGAATGGTCAGTGAGATTACAAATTTTAGGTTGAAGTAGCCAAACTAGAAAATTATCCAAATAAGATTTGTTGGTTTCATGCAATAGTAGGTTATCCCATTCTACTAATAGAGAGTTCCTAGTGATAATATATAACATTACATATAGAAAACAACATGGTTTAATGTATGCTCCCTTAATTGGGCTGGGGTTATTATGAAAAGCTGTTCTTACACGCCAAAGAGTGATTTAGCCTCCAAGTGGAGTTTACTTATTAGTAAAACTGGGTTTTGTAAAATAAATTCTTTAGACTGGTTTCTAGTTGCACTTGTGAGCAGTGATGGGATCTGCTCCTACCAAGGGTGACTCACAAATATTACTTGGTTGTATCTCGCACAAGCGTTAAGAAACACCTGTTAATGAATAAACCATCCCAAATCTCAATATTCTTTTTCCCATTTCTACCTTATAACTTAGAAAAAAGAATAAACTGCCTCAAATGCATAATGTACAATGTGAATCAAATTATCAATTTAAACGATAGACAGTTTCAGCTTTTAGAATATCGATTTATAAACGGAACATTCCATTTTAACTCCTCACCTCCTACCCAACATTCCATCAACATCTCAGGTATTACAGTCCCCCACTCCAGCCACAGCTCACTAGTAACCCAGCATTACACTGAATGCATGTCTAACAGTATGCAAAGTGGGTCCATCCTGTAACATGTGCCTTCCCAGCACGGGGTATCCCAGTGAGAGCAATATCTCCCACCCTGCTGGCCAGATCCCCACTCTCTGCATTACTAGAGTTACCCTGCAGCTCTCCCCTCCTCCCGGCTGCCATTCCTCCCCCTCCTGGCCGGCGCAGGCGCATCTCACATTCGGCTCTCCTCGGCACGGATCGGCTATTTCCGCCTCTTTGTTTTAAACTCCAGCCGGAATTTTTTTCCTCCTCATTTTTCTCTGTTCTTTTTTCAACTAAGGGGGGACTCATTAGGAGCCCGAGACCCCCCTCCAGATCACCTGCCCCTCACAGGGGGGGTTCGTGCACCCGCAGATACCGTCCCCCCCACGGTTTTCCCAGTTGCACACACACACACACATACATACAGCAAGGCTTCTCCTGCCTTGTGTGTCTGTGCTCTGCCCGCTGGAGAAACCCCCCTCCATCAACCAGCAGCGGCTTCATCTCCAGAGACACTGCAAGTACAGCAGCAGCAACCTCCAACAATAGGAATTACAGCAGCAGCAGGTCAGTGTCTTCCTCTGTAAAGTAGGGCTGGAGAGCAGGAGAAGCTGGGATCTCATGCATGGGAAGAGAGGGTTATTACAGAGGGGATCATGACTCCCACCCCCTCCTCCTGCCCTCCCCCTACATATTGCACATCTTTCCTGTTAATGTCCTTCTGTATAGGAGCTAAGAGCTCCACTGTCTCTCAGACAACTCCACCACGCTACACATGTCTTCCCACAGTCATGTCTTAATCATATATCTCATCCTTAATGCTCCCCCCTCCCTAAACTCATATCTGTGCCTGCATGAGACCCCCTCCACCCCCAGCTCATGGCCTCTAGGTCTTTCTCAGGTCCCTCTGTCCCCCAGCCCCCATTCAGCTCTGCTGTTGTGCTGTCTTTTATGTTTGTTTAGGGTGTTGCAGCTTGGGAAACGAACTGCCCTTTTTACCCTTCCCTCTGACATTCCCATAATTTGCATCATTTGCAATATCAGTGTTTAAGATCATTTCCTGATGTAGGGCAACTCATTCACTATGCACCCTAATCTTTGTAACCCCCCCTCTCTCTGTGTATGTTGTCTCATGCACTGTTTCATTTATGCTCAGCTGGAGTCACCACAGTTCCTCCTT